GGTACTGGGACCCGTTCTCTTTAACATCTTTATCAATGATCTGGACGAGGGGGTCGAGTGCACCCTCAGTCAGTTCGCAGACGACACCAAGCTGGGTGGGAGTGTCGACCTGCTGGAGGGTAGAGAGGCTCTGCAGAGGGATCTGGACAGGCTGGATCGATGGGCTGAGACCAACGGGATGAGGTTCAACAAGGCCAAGTGCCGGGTCCTGCCCTTGGGTCCCACCAACCCCCTGCAGCGCTCCAGGCTGGGGGCAGAGTGGCTGGAGCTGCCTGGCAGAAAAGGCCCTGGGGGTGTTGTTGGCCTGTGGCTGAACAGGAGCCAGCAGTGTGCCCAGGTGGCCAAGAAGGCCAACAGCATCCTGGCCTGTGTCAGGAACAGCGTGGGGAGTAGGACCTGAGAGGTGATTGTTCCCCTGTCCTGGGCACTGGTGAGGCCCCACCTCGAGGGCTGTGTCCAGTTTTGGGCCCCCTACCACAAAAAAGACATTGAGGGGCTGGAGTGGGTCCAGAGAAGGGCAATGGAGCTGGTGAGGGGTCTGGAGAGTCTGAGGAGAGGCTGAGGGAGCTGGGGGTGTTCAGTCTGAAGAAGAGGAGGCTGAGGGGAGACCTTATCGCACTCTATAACTACCTGAAGGGGGTGTGTAGAGAGGCGGGGGTTGGTCTTGTCTCCCAAGTCCTAGGAGATAGGACAAGGGGAAATGGCCTCAAGTTGCACCAGGAGAGGTTCAGATTGGATATTGGGAAACATTTCTTCATGGAAAGGGTTATCCAGCATTGGAATGGGCTGCCCAGGGAAGGGGTTGAGGCACCATCCCTGGATGTGCTCAAAAGACGGGTTGACATGGTCCTCAGGAATATGGTTTAGTGATTCTTTTTTTATTGCTTATTTCTTCTTTATTTTTTTGGTCAGAGTTAGGTTGATGGTTGGACTAGATGATCTTTAAGGTCCCTTCCAACCTGGACGATTCTATGATTCTAGGTACAAGCACTATCTCACCGTCCACCAGCGGGTCCACACGGGAGAGCGTCCCTTCACTTGCAGCAGCTGCCCCAAGGCCTTCAGGAGCAAACACTCCCTCACCATCCACCAGCGCGTCCACACCGGGGAACGTCCCTTCACCTGCACCCACTGCCTCAAGGCCTTCAGGAGCAAGCGCTCCCTCACCATCCATGAGCAGGTCCACACCGAGGAGCGCCCCTTCACTTGCAACCACTGCCCCAAGACCTTTAGGAACAAGAACTATCTCACCATGCACCAGCAGGTCCACACTGGAGAGCGTCCCTTCATGTGCAACAGTTGTCCCAAGGCCTTCAGGAGCAAGCACTATCTCACAATCCACCAGCAGGTCCACACCAGAGAGCGTCCCTTCACTTGCAACAGTTGTCCCAAGGCCTTCAGGAGCAAGCACTATCTCACCATCCACCAGCGGGTCCACACCGGGGAGTGCCCCTTCACCTGCCCCCACTGCCCCAAGGCCTTCAGGAGCAAGCACTATCTCACCATGCACCAGCAGGTCCACACTGGAGACCGTTCCTTCACTTGCAACAGTTGTCCCAAGGCCTTCAGGAGCAAACACTCCCTCATCACGCACCAGCAGGTCCACACCGGTGAGTGCCCCTTCACTTGCAACAGCTGCCCCAAGGCCTTCAGGAGCAAGCACTATCTCACCACGCACCAGCAGGTCCACACTGGGGAGCGTCCATTCACTTGCCCCCACTGTCCCAAGGCCTTCAGGAGCAAGCACTATCTCACCACGCACCAGCAGGTCCACACCGGTGAGTGCCCCTTCACTTGCAACAGCTGCCCCAAGGCCTTCAGGAGCAAACACTCCCTCACCATCCACCAGCGCGTCCACACTGGGGAGCACCTCTTGACTTGCAGCAGCTGCCCCAAGACCTTCAGGAGCAAGCACTATCTCACCATCCACCAACGTGTCCACACCGGGGAGCGCCCCTTCACCTGCCCCCACTGCCCCAAGACCTTCAGTAGCAAGCACTATCTCACCATCCACCAGCGGGTCCACACTGGGGAGCGTCCCTTCACTTGTAACAGCTGCCCCAAGGCCTTCAGGAGCAAGAACACCCTCATCGCCCACCAGATGGTCCACACTGGCGAGCGTCCCTTCACTTGCCCCCACTGTCCCAAGGCCTTCAGGAGCAAGCAGACCCTCACCTTCCACCAGCAGGTCCACACCGGGGAGCGCCCGTTCACTTGCAGCTACTGCTCCAAGACCTTCAGGAGCAAGCAGACCCTCACCGTCCACCAGATGGTCCACACCGGGGAGCGCCCTTTCACTTGCGACCACTGCCCCAAGACCTTCAGGACCAAGCAGACCCTCATCGTCCACCAGCGGGTCCACAGCAGCGAGCATCCCTTTGCCTGTGACCGCTGCCCCAAGACCTTCAGGAAGAAGCACTCCCTCACCACCCACCAGCAGGTCCACACCGGGACAAGGCAAGAAAAACAAAGGTTGTTAATCTTTCACTGGGCATATACAAACCCAAAGGCCTAGTCGCTTCGTGGGCGGGTACCACAGCCTTGGATGAGGAACATCATGACCTACTGCGGAACAATAACCAGCCTCGGTCGCAGAACAAACGCTGGGAATGAGCTCGGCGTTGGGGAGAACAGCCACCTTGGCCAAAGGGAACAGCACAACATGAAGAAGACCTGGGGTCTTCCTCCCAGAGCCCCCCGGAGAAGACCACCAGGAGGCAGTTTGCGTGTGCCTGAGGGAGGATACTTGCCCAGAGCCCCCCGGAGAAGACCACCAGGAGGCAGTTTGCGTGCGCCTGAGGGAGGAGACTCATTAGAATGAGCTCCTGGACATAATTAACGTAGTCCCGCCTATCATAGAACTAATTGTCTGAGTCCCTCCCGTAGCTTTACACATGTGTGATTTGGGTTATAAATCAGTGCTTGCTTGGCATGAGGGGGGGCAAGTCGGAGGAGAGACCCCCCCTCCTTGCACCCGGGCCTGCAATAAACAGACCCGCATTCTGTCTCTGTTGGGTTGTAGGGTTTGTGTCCAGGTGGCCGTTTGGCAGCTGGATGGGACACCCTCTGCCCGGCTGCGGGACCTGCTGAGAAGGGGACTCCTCTGGGTACCCCAAGATTTCTCGGGGGGACTCCCCTGCTCACTCAGATCACTGTGGGGACAGACAAGGACCATCCAATGTGGACCAGGTATGTTTCAGAGGGTACCTGTGATGTAGGAGATGTCCTACACGAGGTGAGGAGCCGGTGTCCTCTCCCCGGGGTTTGCTCGAGCCTGGGCTGAGGGAGGGAAGTCAATTGAGGTGATGTTTGTGTGGGACCCCTGGGTGCTGGCTGTTGTGTGGGCGTGTGGGATGGTGACACTAATTGTTATCTGTCGCGCACGTTGTAAGGTACCAATAACTGTGTCATGGTCCAGTATCAAAAAGAGACCGTTGTAGGAAGGAGACGAGGGGCTGGGACGTGGTGATGCCACCGAGCGAGCGTGGAGTTCCCATCCACGGCTCCGAATCCTCCACGGGGACGGTGGCCGGAGACGAACGAGGCACGTGATGGGTTCAAAGGAGGCGTTGTTTGATCCAGGCATTGATTGGTATCGTCCTGTACACCGGGACCACACTCTATCCCATAATCCTATTTTTTTGTCGCTGTTTTGCCTGTAACAAGAACGTTTGGGTGGGCTGTGGGGACGATTTCTGCTGTCCCCAGTGTGGAAATTAGAGTGGGGAAAGATGGAATTAAAAGGAGTAACCTGTGAGAGGATGGCTTACCCCTGGAGAGTAACTGTGGAGAAATAACAAAATATAAATAGAGGAGCCTTATCTACGTAACGGTTTGGAAATTTGAAATATTCATTGTGGAACTGCCACCCCCTGAATAATTTACGGTGGGTCAGGTCTTATTACTGCCAATCAGGGAACATTTCTCAATTAAGAAAGCAGGGAAGCACAAATATAGGCAATAATCAAGGAGGTGAGATATTGGGAAAAAAGTCCCCTAGGATGTATCCCAGCACGCTGGAAGGAGAGCAGAGGCCCACCAGGTGGGAGTGTAGAAATAAAAGCAGAATTAAATATTATACCCAGCGGTAGCCGTTTTATAAGGTAGGTGAACAAGAAAAATGGCCTTTTAATGGGAGTCTTAATTATAATACCATGCTATAATTAATGTTATTCCTTAGAAGAGAAAGAAAGTGGGATGAAGTTACAATTGCGGATGTGTTCTTCACCCTCTGGAATCACCCGGAATAACAACAGGGCTAATGCCCCCCCAGGACCCCATGGTATTAAATTTAGAAAACAGGAAAGAAATGAAGGAAAGTATGAGGAGGTGTTGTTTGGGTTGCAGCATCATGTCCCCCCTCATCTCCTCACCTTCCTTCCTCACCTGAACCCTCTGCCGTGGCACCCCCACTGTCCCAAGGCCTTCAGGAGCAAGCAGACCCTCACCTTCCACCAGCAGGTCCACACCGGGGAGCGCCCGTTCACTTGCAGCTACTGCTCCAAGACCTTCAGGAGCAAGCAGACCCTCACCGTCCACCAGATGGTCCACACCGGGGAGCGCCCTTTCACTTGCGACCACTGCCCCAAGACCTTCAGGACCAAGCAGACCCTCATCGTCCACCAGCGGGTCCACAGCAGCGAGCATCCCTTTGCCTGTGACCGCTGCCCCAAGACCTTCAGGAAGAAGCACTCCCTCACCACCCACCAGCAGGTCCACACCGGGACAAGGCAAGAAAAACAAAGGTTGTTAATCTTTCACTGGGCATATACAAACCCAAAGGCCTAGTCGCTTCGTGGGCGTGTACCACAGCCTTGGATGAGGAACATCATGACCTACTGCGGAACAATAACCGGCCTCGGTCGCAGAACAAACGCTGGGAATCAACTTGGTGGTGTGGAGAACAGCCACCTTGGCCAAAGGGAACAGCCCACCATGAAGAAGACCCGGGGCCTTCCTCCCAGAGCCCCCCGGAGAAGACCACCAGGAGGCAGTTTGCGTGTGCCTGAGGGAGGATACTTGTTAGAATGAGCTCCTGGACATAATTAACGTAGTCCTGCCTATCGTAGAACTAATTGTCTGAGTCCCTCCTGTAGCTTTACACGTGTGTGATTTGGGTTATAAATCAGTGCTTGCTTGGCATGAGGGGGGGCAAGTCGGGAGGAGAGACCCCCCCCTCCTTGCACCCGGGGCTGCAATAAACAGACCTGCATTCTGTCTCTGTTGGGTTGTAGGGTTTGTGTCCAGGTGGCCGGATGGGACACCCTCTGCCCGGCTGCGGGACCTGCTGAGAAGGGGACTCCTCTGGGTACCCCGAGATTTCTCAGGGGGACTCCCCTGCTCACTCAGATCACTGTGGGGACAGACAAGGACCATCCAATGTGGACCAGGTATGTTTCAGAGGGTACCTGTGATGTAGGAGATGTCCTACACGAGGTGAGGAGCCGGTGTCCTCTCCCCGGGGTTTGCTCGAGCCTGGGCTGAGGGAGGGAAGTCAATTGAGGTGATGTTTGTGTGGGACCCCTGGGTGCTGGCTGTTGTGTGGGCGTGTGGGATGGTGACACTAATTGTTATCTGTCGCGCACGTTGTAAGGTACCAATAACTGTGTCATGGTCCAGTATCAAAAAGAGACCGTTGTAGGAAGGAGACGAGGGGCTGGGACGTGGTGATGCCACCGAGCGAGCGTGGAGTTCCCATCCACGGCTCCAAATCCTCCACGGGGACGGTGGCCGGAGACGAACGAGGCACGTGATGGGTTCAAAGGAGGCGTTGTTTGATCCAGGCATTGATTGGTATCGTCCTGTACACCGGGACCACACTCCATCCCATAATCCTATTTTTTTGTCGCTGTTTTGCCTGTAACAAGAACGTTTGGGTGGGCTGTGGGGACGATTTCTGCTGTCCCCAGTGTGGAAATTAGAGTGGGGAAAGATGGAATTAAAAGGAGTAACCTGTGAGAGGATGGCTTACCCCTGGAGAGTAACTGTGGAGAAATAACAAAATATAAATAGAGGAGCCTTATCTACGTAACGGTTTGGAAATTTGGAATATTCATTGTGGAACTGCCACCCCCTGAATAATTTACGGTGGGTCAGGTCTTATTACTGCCAATCAGGGAACATTTCTCAATTAAGAAAGCAGGGAAGCACAAATATAGGCAATAATCAAGGAGGTGAGATATTGGGAAAAAAGTCCCCTAGGATGTATCCCAGCACGCTGGAAGGAGAGCAGAGGCCCACCAGGTGGGAGTGTAGAAATAAAAGCAGAATTAAATATTATACCCAGCGGTAGCCGTTTTATAAGGTAGGTGAACAAGAAAAATGGCCTTTTAATGGGAGTCTTAATTATAATACCATGCTATAATTAATGTTATTCCTTAGAAGAGAAAGAAAGTGGGATGAAGTTACAATTGCGGATGTGTTCTTCACCCTCTGGAATCACCCGGAATAACAACAGGGCTAATGCCCCCCCAGGACCCCATGGTATTAAATTTAGAAAACAGGAAAGAAATGAAGGAAAGTATGAGGAGGTGTTGTTTGGGTTGCAGCATCATGTCCCCCCTCATCTCCTCACCTTCCTTCCTCACCTGAACCCTCTGCCGTGGCAGGATTGGGGTCCCCTCCTGGGTTCTTCCTCTCTTTCTCCTCCCCCACAGGGGGGTCAGTCCTTTTTCTGCTGCCCCAAAGAAGACCTAAAACCCAGCATTTCCTTCCCCACCCGATTCCAGCTCCGGTCCCCCCCGAGATGCCTCAACCCTGTCCCAACACAAACCTCCACATCAGCCTGAAGGGAAAAGGGAAGAGGGAAGGAAAGAGGGAAGGAAAGAGGGAAGGGAAGAGGGAAAATGGAAAAGGGAAAAGGAAGGGAAAGGGAAGGGAAAGGGGTAAGGAAAGGCCACCCCCCCAAACACTGTGGGAACGTGGGTGCCCTGCCGTGCCCCAGGCGGGGGGATATGTGTGCCCCCCCTCCCTCCCCCCAGCAAGGACGCTCCCCTCATCCCCCAAACTGTTGAGAGGTGGGTGCCCCCCCGTGCCCCAAAAGTAGGGGTGCGGGTTCCTCCCGTGCCCCCTGAAGCGTGGGGATGCAGGTGCCCCCCTGTCGTGGTTTGGGCCGGACTGAGCACTGAAGCGACCAACAGATGTTCTCCCCTTCTTCTCTCTCCAAGGAGAGGTGGGAGAGAGATAATGAGTTTAAAAAAAGCTCCTAAACTCCTTTAATTAAAATAGTAATAAATTAACAAAATAAAAACAAAACTGAAAGCAATGAAATATATACAATAGATGCAGAACCAGAGCACACTCATCACCGGTGGGCACTGGGGAAGTCCCAGACTAGATCCAGTGAGGGACGGGAGCTGGATTTGGGATCTGGAGTCGGGAGCAGAGGAAGAGACCGAGAGTCCTCCTCAGCCACAGGAGGAGAAGACCCGACCCTTCCATCCCTCGGCTTTATACCCAGCGTGATGCCGAGGGGGTGGAACACCCTGTTGATCAGTTTGGGGGTCACCTCTCCCGCCCGCTCCTCCCCGCTGGTGGGACCCCCCCACGCTTTTCAGCTTCTCCCCCCACCTCACACAGGGGCAGATAACCAAGTTATGACCTTGGTTGTCCCAGCAATAGGGATAAGCAGGAGCCTCTCCGCATTCCAGCCCTTGGTGTTCCCTGTAAACATCACACCCACCCTGAGAGGAGTTTCTGCCCAACACGCTCTTCATTTCGGAGTCCGGAGAGTTAGAGGAGGCTTAGCTGAAAAGCAAAATTACGGAACAGAAAATTGGTTCTGTTTTCCCTCAAACCCAGACCAGGACACCCCCCCAGGCAAGACCTTACTGGCCTTGGGTCCATCTCCAGGATCACCATGGACTTGCAGCTTCCACGGTGAGGGTTGTTGAGCCAGGACGAGCCGTGAGCCCCATAACAGAAGTTTCACGGGTGCCGGGCTGTGGAGGCAGCCATGGTTTGGGGGTGCCGTGGTGATCCAGCATGATCCCCTCATCCCGAAGCTGTTCCTCACAGCTGCCCAACTGGAAGGGCTTGGCCTTCACCCACATCTCCTGCCAAGGACAGACCACCCTCCTCCCAGTGTCCACCTTCTGGCACTGCCCATGGGCCATGCTGCATCTGCCGGTGGCATTTCAGCCCTTCCTTGCGGACGTAGGTCTTGCCACACTCGCTGCACTTGTAGGGTCTCTCGCCCGTGTGGGCCCGCTGGTGGATGGTGAGGGTCTGCTTGTCTCTGAAGGCCATGGGGCAGCCATCACAGGCGAAGGGGCGTTCCCCGGTGTGGACCCTCTTATGGATGGTGAGGGCCTTCCTGTGCTTGAAGGCCTTGGGGCAATGGGGGCAGGAGAAGGGGCGCTCCCCGGTGTGGACCCGCAGGTGGTCGGTGAGGGTTACCTTGTTCCTGAAGGCCATGGGGCAGTGGGGGCAGGAGAAGGGGCGCTCCACGGAGTGGACCCGCTGGTGGTCACTGAGGGCCTTCTTGTTTCTGAAGGCCTTGGGACAACGGGCACAGGTGAAGGGGTCCTCTCCGGTGTGGGCCAGCTGGTGCTCAGTGAGGGCCTGCTTGTTCTTGAAGGCCTTGGGGCAACTGTCACAGGCGAAGGGGCGCTCCATAGTGTGGACTCGCTGGTGGTCCCTGAAGGTCTTCCTGTCCTTGAAGGCCTTGGGGCAGTGGGTGCAAGCGAAGGGGCGCTCCCCAGTGTGGACCCGATGGTGGTCATTGAGGGTTCTCTTGTCCTTGAAGGCCTTGGGGCAGTAGGTGCAAGCGTAGGGTCGCTCCTTGGTGTGAACCCATTGGTGGATGGTGAGGGTGTTCTTGTCCTTGAAGGTCCTGGAGCACAAAGGGCAGGCGAAGGGGCGCTCCCCGGTGTGGACGCGTTGGTGGACATTGAGGGTCTGCTTGTCCCTGAAGGTCTTGGGGCAGGTGGGGCAGGGCAGTCCTTTTTCTGCTGCCCCAAAGAAGACCTAAAACCCAGCATTTCCTTCCCCACCCGATTCCAGCTCCGGTCCCCCCCGAGATGCCTCAACCCTGTCCCAACACAAACCTCCACATCAGCCTGAAGGGAAAAGGGAAGAGGGAAGGAAAGAGGGAAGGAAAGAGGGAAGGGAAGAGGGAAAATGGAAAAGGGAAAAGGAAGGGAAAGGGAAGGGAAAGGGGTAAGGAAAGGCCACCCCCCCAAACACTGTGGGAACGTGGGTGCCCTGCCGTGCCCCAGGCGGGGGGATATGTGTGCCCCCCCTCCCTCCCCCCAGCAAGGACGCTCCCCTCATCCCCCAAACTGTTGAGAGGTGGGTGCCCCCCCGTGCCCCAAAAGTAGGGGTGCGGGTTCCTCCCGTGCCCCCTGAAGCTGTGGGATGTGGGTGCCCCCTCATGCCCCCCCCC